GGACCATGTTTTCCACTGTTCTTGGAAACTGCCTAGCACAAATTGAGTAGTATCTCTATAACAACCACCTAGATTAAGTGTTTCTTGAAGGCTCAATTAGCAAGAATCAAAAATATGAATCCTGAGATAGGGCTTATTGCAGAAGAGGGTAATAAGCATCCAAACACGGCTCACCAGAGTTAGCCCCTGACAGGCTACCAGACACTTCTCACCTACCTTCATACCCACAGATATGGCCACTTGCAGCTCCAACTGGCCATGGTTCACTATTTCCAGCCAACGGGAGCTGTGGGAAGTGGTGGCCCAGCCTGCAGGGCTTCTCACAGCTCCTACTGATTAGATGTCAGTTTAAAAATTGTTCATATAAAATGCTGTGGCCTCTTCATTTTTCATGTATTAATGCTGGTGAAAATTGCCACAGAACAAAGTGTAGAAAAAGTGACAGTTGTCCAAATTTCCTTCCACTACCACACTAATGCCTCTGATCTGGGAATATACACTTCTATGGATAACAAAACAGTTCAAACCTCCATACTCATTCAGTTTGAAACTACTGTCAAAGATACCAAATAATACAATTGTGGCACAACTAATGTCTGATCTAATAGATCTGAATGTTTTACAACTATATAAAATTTCAAAAATTAACCTCTCTGTAGTAATGTACAATAAGATTCTTCATTCATTTATTAATCCAGACATTATACTATGATAATTTCATACATTTACAGTAGTTCCAGAAAGTAAACATTGGATTTTTTGGAAGTTGTGACCAGAATAAAAACTTCCTGTCTTCAAACATATGATTTTAACTTCATCCGAAAACAAAATCTTAGAATCTAGTCCATTTAAGAGATAAACAAACAATCACAATCTATGGGTAACTGCACCCATATGCACTAGTGACAAGTCAGAGCAGTAGGGATAGATGTAAGCAGTAAGCAATTAAGAGGTGAATTCCCCTTTAAGCTTAAAACAGGTTTTTTTTTCCCTAAATTAGGGACTCTTACTGAACAAAGTGTGTATTTGTAACTATTCTTTATATTTTTGCTAACGGACTTAGTCTAAATTATTAGGTAAGATCCTAGGGCTCATCTATGTGCTCATTTAGTTCATGGCAACCTGGGGTATAAGGTTACTCTGATGCCCATTAACTGAAGTACTCAATGTTGGTTTGTTTTTTACTTCTGTCTTCACAGATAAGGTCAATGCCCAGATTCTGGGGCTGGGCAGCACAGTATGGGGAGGAAGTGAACAGCTCTCAGTGAAGAAAACTGATTAACAACTATTTAGAAAAGTTGGACATACACAAATCCATGGGGCCAGATTTAAAGATTCCAAGAGTGCTGGGACTGATCCTACTTTAGGCAGGCGCTGGACTGAATGACCTCCTGAGGTCTCTTCCAACTCTATTGTTTTAGTTGGCTGATATAATTGCAGAGCCATTGGCCATTATCTCTGAAAACTCATGGCAATCGGAGGAGATCTGGGATGATTGGAAAAAGCAAATGTAGAGCCCATCTTTAAAAAACAAGTGGAGAACTACAGACCAGTCAGCCTCACCTCAGTCTCTGGAAAAATCATGGAGGGAATCCTCAAGGAATCCATTCTGAAGCACTTGGAAGAGAGGAAAGTGATCAGGAACAGCCAACATGGATTCACCAAGGGCAAGCCATGCCTGATCAACCTGATTGCCTTCTATGAGGAGATAACTGGCTCTCGGGATATGGGGAAGGCAGTGGCTGTGATATACCTGGACTTTAGCAAAGCTTTTGGTACACTCTCTCACAGTATTCTTGCCAGCAAGTTAAAGAAGTATGGATTGGATAAATGGACTGCAAGGTGGATAGAAAGCTGGCTACCAATGGGTAGTGATCAATAGCATGGTGTCTGGTTGATCGTTGGTATCAAGCAGAGTGCCCCAAGGGTCAGTCCAGGGGCTGGTTTTATTCAACATCTTTATTAACGACCTGGATGAGGGGATATGTTGCACCCTCAGCAAGTTTGCAGATGACACTAAGATAATGGGAAAAGGTAGATAACACTGGAGGGAAGGGATAGGATTCAGAGTGACTTACACAAATTGGAGAATTGGGCCAAAAGAAATCTGATGAGGTTCAAGGACAAGTGAAGAGTCAAATTTGGGATGGAAGAATCCTAAGCACTGCTACAGGCAGGGGACCGACTGACTAAGCAGCAGTACTGCAGAAAAGGACCTGGGGATGACAGTGGATGAGAAGCTGGATATGAGTCAACAGTGTGCTCTTGTAGTCAAGAAGGCTAGCGGCATATAGGGGTGCAGTAGCAGGCACACTGCCAGCAGATGTAGGAAAGTGATTATTCCCCTTTATTCAGCACTGGTGAGGCCATATACGGAATATAGTGTCCAATTCTGGGCCCACTATTACAGAAATAATGTGTGGATGCATTAGAGAAAGTCCAGCAGAGGGCAACAAAAAGCGATTAGGGAGCTGAAGCACATGGCTTATGAGGAGAGGCTTAGGGAACTGGGCTTATTTAGTCTACAGAAGAAAAGAGTGAAGGGGAATTTGATAGCAGCCTTCAACTATCTGAAGGGGGGTTCTGAAGAGGATGGAGAGAGGCTATTCTGTCATCTGTCACCACTGAGAACAAAGAGCAATAATTTCAAGTTGCAATGGGGGAGGGTCTAAGTTGGATATTAGGAAAAACAATTTCACTAGAATGTTGGTAAAGCACTGGAATGGGTTACTCAGGGAGGTGATGGAATCACCCTAGAGGTTTTTAAATCCCAGCTTGACAAAGACATAGCTGGGATAATTTAGTTGGGACTGGTCCTGCTCTTGGCAGGGGTTGGACTCAGTGGCCTCCTAGGGTCTCTTCCAACCCTGCAATTCTATGATTCTATTTGTTAATGCTCTTTGATTTATTCCTCTATGAAACAGGATTAAAATCAAAATGCTGTAGTAGATTTAATGGACGTGAGCAGCATTCACATACACAGTTGGTATGCAACAGTCTAGCAAGGGACAGATTAATAAACTTGTTTGCCACAAACTAATTGTTCATGTAGAGAAGTTCTTAGTAGGATATTTGTAGTTAAATATAAGCTCATTAGAGATGGTCTAATATTTTACAAATTTCTGTACAACATCACATTAGAAGGGTCTGCATAATTCCTGACATGTTTTATAAAAATTCTCCAAATATAAAATGGGGAGTAACTGGCTAGGTACAGTTCCGCAAAAGAGGTTATAATGATCACAAATTGAATATGAAGCAAGAGTATGATCCAGTAGTGAAAAAGACTAAGATAATTCTGGAGAGTATTAACTGGACTCTTCTTGTATGCAACACATACCTCCTAGTTGACACTTGCAAGGCCTCAGCTAGACTACTGTGTCCAGTTCTGAGCACCACACTTCAAGAAATATGTGGACAAACTGGAGAAAGCCTAAAAGAAGGCACCAAGAGTAACAAACATTGTCTAAATCTGAGCTCCAAGGTAAGTTTTTATAAAAACTGGCATATTAGTCTAAACCTGAGTGGAAGGGCCCTGATATTTTTACACAGCTGAAAATTATTAGCTATCAATTGTTTTCCATGTCCACTGAAACTAGAACAAGTAGCAATGGGCTTGTTCTCCAGTGTGGGAGATTTAGGTCAGGATATTTAGAAAAAATGAAACTATAATGATAAAGTTCTGAAACAGCCATCTAAAAGGGGTTATGGTATCTCTGGTTTTGGAGGGTTTTGAGAAGCTATAAACAAACACCTGTCACAGATGGTACTGCGTTGGTAAAGGGGGTGATGACATTTCAAAGTCCTTTCCATCTATATGTCTAAGATTCTGTGTC